TTTCTGGACCTTTTGTCATTTTTGTTGCTCTCCTCTGAACTCTCTGCAGTTTGTCCACATCTTTCCTAAAGTGCGGCACCCAGAACTGGGCACAGGACTCCAGCTGAGGCCGCGCCTGCGCTCAGTAGAGCAGGACAACTACCTCTCGTGTCTTACATACGACACTCCTGTTAACACACCCCAGAATGATATTAGCCGTTTTGGTAACTGCATCACATTGTTGACTCATATTCAATTTGTGATCCACTGTAACCCCCAGATCCTTTTCAGCAGTACGTCTCCCTAGCCAGTGGTTTTACTGCAAACATGTGCAGACCACGTGTCCCCTGCACTGGGAACAGAAGGTAGCGTGAGGTTTGTGGTGGTTCTTAAATCCCACAGGAGGAACTTCCATGGGCTTGGACCAGCCCCAAAAACCTGTTGCCTTCTCAGACGAACTTTACCCTGTTCTAAACTGTTTCGCTCGCAGGGCCCTCTGTGCTGGGGTTTGGGAGCTAGATTTACACAGGCTCCTTTGAAAATCCCAATTCTGGCTAAAGGGCTGGAGAAAATTTTTCCTTTTGGACTGAGAATTGTTTTTATGGTTAAATAAAATACTTTCATGAATAGCATTTGCTTCTGGTGGAAAATTTTTAGTTTTGTGTGAAACAAAAAAATCAAAAACATGAGCTTTGGCCAAAAATGTTTGGGTTTTGGTTTATCGATGAAAAGTCTAAATGTTATGTGGAAAATTTAGATTGAAACAATTTCGTTGCTCTTTGGTCTACATTTTCTCCATGTTCAGGAAGGAGGGGAGAAATGTTTCCCAGAAACAGGGCTAGGTTCTATTTCTGCCTCTGCCCCGGGTGACGTTGGCCAAGTCACGTCACCACTCAGTGCCTCGGTTTCCCCATTCATCAGATGAGGGTGATGATACTGACCTTTTTTGTAAAGTGCTTGGAGATTTCCAGCTGACACATGCTATATTCGAGTTATTAGTCAAAGAGCATAGGCGGCAGGTTTGTATAATTTTTGGTGGTGCCCAAAATGGTGGTGCCCCCCCCCCGCTTCCCCCTGTAAGCCGATATATATATTTTATTAAATAGTGTAAACATGGACTGGAAGCCATAAGCATTTAAGTTTCTCTTTATTGCACAATATCACTATCAGAAAAATCCATTGTTGATTATTAGCGGTCCTACAAATCAAGAATTTGTTGCTGGGATAAAATGAAGCTACAACGCATCGGTGCCACAAGATTACGAGGGTCAATTAAAAGTGGAAAGTCAGAAGCAGCACTTGCCTGCTTCAATATACAGTATTATATTTTGTTGCACCTGTTGTGATGAAGTGGGAAGGTTCTTAATGTTTTCTCTATGAATACTGTCTGGGTGCCTCAGTTTCCCCTGCAAGGTGCCAACGGAAGGTGTTGGGGACAAAGAGATCAGGTGGCCTCCTTGTCCGGAAGAGACACAAAGGCCAGAGGAGGGAGTGTCAGTTTGGAGCTGGCTTGGGAAATGGGGAGAGGCCCAGGGTCTGGGCTTCTCACCCCCCAAGATGGACCTGACTGAGGGCTCCTGTTTTCTGTACCTACAAGCTCTGTTTTAGACTGTGTTCCTGTCGTCTAATAAACCTTCTGTTTTCCCGGCTGGCTGAGAGTCATGTCTGACTGCAGAGTTGGGGTGCAGGGACCTCTGGCTGCCCCAGGACCCCGCCTGGGCGGACTCGCTGCGGGAAGCGCACGGTGTGGAAGGGCATGCTGAATGCTCCGAGGTCAGACCCAGGAAGGTGTAAGCTTCTTGCCCTAGAGACAGTCTGCTCCGAGAGAGGAGGCTCCCCCAGAGTCCTGACTGGCTTTGAAGGAGGGGTTCCAGAGCATCCCAGCATCCCCTTCCACACCATACGCTTCCCAGAAGTCCGCACAGGCACTAACACTCCCTCCTCTTCCTTTGTCTCTTTTCCAGGCATTAGGAGGCCACCTGATCTCTTTGTTCTCCAACACCTTCAGTTGGCACCTTGCAGGAGCGCGGCCCAGGCCATCAGTTGCCGGGAGACAGGGTTTCGGCCATTCTCTGTGCAGAGAGCATCACACTGGCCCTCTCGGGCTCTACAACAATCACACCCCCTTATCCCACCATCTAGATCCTTAAGAAATGCATAGGGAAACTGAGGCACCCACACAGTATTCAGAGAAAACATTAAGAACATTCCCACTTCGTAACACCTGTATACGACTAGTTATATACTTTAAAAGGTGTAAAATAATCAAGTATTGTGCTAAACACAATGATACTCCAAACTGACCACCACCTTTAAGTTGTGTGTTTTTCCCCTTAGGTGAGGGCTCTGGGGTGGGGCTGGGGATGAGGGGTTCACAGTGCAGGAGGGTGCTCAGGGTTGGGGTGCTGGGGTTGCAGGCTCTGGGGTGGGGCAGGGCTGGGGATGAGGAACTTGGGGTGCAGACAGGCTGCCCCAGGGCTAGGGCCAGAGAGGACTCACCCCAGGGGGCAGCAGCAAGCTCCAGGGAAGGGACCCCTCCTCTTCCCCTGCAGCACACTCACTCCTAGGGCCTCTCTCAGGTCTAGAAAGCCCACTCGCCCCCCTATGGTGGGTACCAGGGGGGGTTGCCATCATGTGTGGCCTCACCATAGCCTCACTGGGGATGGGGCTGCCCCTTGCCCAGCGTGGGGCAAGAGTGGGGACTGCAGGGTGATGGCTGTGGGGGGGTGGGAGCAGGATGTTACAAAATTCACCCAAGCCCCAGCTGCTCAGGTCTAGGAAGCCCCCCTCCCCAGTGGCGTAGCCAGGTTCTAACATCGGGGGAGTGAATATATAAAAAAAGGTGCCCCCGACATATCAAATTACTAATCAGGTAGTAGGGTTTGCAGTGTTCTAACAAGAGATTCTGCTATTACCATTCTCCTGTCAACTTGCACACTACACTTCTGAATTAGTGATAATTCACAGAGAGAGAAAGAAGAAAGCTGAATTTAGAGAACAATTATTAACCAGATTCCTGGTTATTCACCAGCCACTTTACTCCAGTCCATAGCACAAAGCACCACAAACCCAGTAGAAACTGGCCAAGAGATTATTCACCTCCAATTGACATCTGCTACACCTCCCCCCCCCCCCCATTCCCAGTCCCCACTATTCAGGAGATAGCGACGTGACAAGCTGGCATGGCTGAAGCATTTAGCAGGCAACTGAAAACTAGTCTAGAGTCTGGACAGTCTCTGAGACCAGTGCTTCATTCTGAGCCCTGGGTCTGCAGCTAGTCAGCAGTGAGACGCAGGAGACAGAACTGGCACCTTAAAGCACCTTTACCCTCCTTCCTTCACAAGCTGCACTAAGCACAGTTTCACTGCCCCGGGCGCAGCACTGGGGGGGTAAGTACGGGAGAGGGGGCAATAACCCAAAGTAGCTCCTTTGCCTCCTGGTCCTGCCGCTCCCTCAGCCCCCTCCGCTGGAGAGAGACCATGAGAAAAAACATCCCCCCCCTTTTCCTTCCTTCTCCACCGGCACCAGCTGGGCTTCAGAGCCCCCTTCCCTGCCCGCGGCTGCCTCGCTCTGCATGGAGCTGCCGGGGATTGGGGGCTACTGCTCCTCAGCCCCCCGCTGCGCTGCCACCCCTTCCCCTCCCGGCAGAGCCCACCCCAGCTTGGGAGCCTCCTCCTCCTCCTCCTCAGGGAGCCGGGCAACCAGCCGACGCTATCTGCAGCCCCGGAGCTAGCGAGCTGGGCTGGGGGTGCAGGGGGGGCGGTGCGGAGCCCAGAGCCAGCCAGCCGGCGGCCACAGGCAAAACCCCGCTCCAGACTCCGAGTCTGGAGCCCAGTGCTGGGTGTCTGGAAACTGGAAAGGCGCCGCTTTTGGAAAATGTGCACAGAGGGGGGCGGCTCTTCCCTCCAGTTACGCTACTGGGTCCGGGGGGAACGCTCCGAGGCTGTGGGAGGGCTGGCGGCAGGGGCGGGTGCCCACTCCAGGTGGGGCCAGGGGAGAAACCCAGCTCCAGATATTGGTGGAGCACAGCCCCCAGTCTTGAATATTCCTGGTGCTCGGACACCACGCGCCCATATAACCTGCCGCCTAGAGCAAGATCTGCACTAGTGGAAACACACCAGTATCACTGAAACCTGTGCGACTAGCCACCAGAGCTCAAATGCTAAGTTGCAGAAGACAATAAATCCACACATTTATTCTGCTGAGGACTATTTACCTGTGGCTGGGGAGTCGCACAATGATTTGACATCTACAGTGTCTGCGCCCCAGCTGGCTCGGTTACTAGCGTTACATCGGTAGAAGGCGTCACTGCTGTTTGCATTAATCACTACGTGCAGCAGGGATTGGTGCCCAGGGAGCTGATGGTCCCGGTCAGACGGGATCTGGGACGTGCCTCGGGACCAGCCGTAGGTGACTCTGTCAGCGCCAGGCACCGAGCAGGACAGGGTAACGTTGCACTGGCCGAGCTCCGCGTGGGCAGAGAGCACCGTGAGGTTTGGCTGCCGGACTCGGTCTGAAAGGAGAGATCCTGGTGAGAGATGCTGAGGAAGGCGGCTGCCGTCAGTGACACACACTAGGGAAAAACGTGATCTTTGCTACTCACCAAACACAGAGACACGGAACTTTGTGATGTCTTCACGGCCTCCTCCAATGTCAATTAGCAAGGTATAGAGGCCACTGTCTGACTTATTGACTGGATCAATCTGCAGTGAGAGATTCTCAGGGTGGAAAGTGACTCTGTTGATAAAATGTGGGGCTGCCCCATGGTCAGGGGGTTCCCCTTTATTAAATGTTACAATCCGATATGTCTCTGCTGAGTCTAGTGTGACCTTCCAGGTGATTCCTGTCCCAGGCTCCGGCAATTTCGCTGGCTGTAACTGAACCGATTCCTCTGCAATTCCGGCCACTTCCATTTCATTACAACCTGGGCATCCAAAAGTACAAAGAGCAGGTGAGTGAAGGGTTAACTGAGTCCTGAGCTCATCAGGGAGACTTGGGCTAAAACAGGGTCATTTCCTGGCCTGGCTTAGGGGTGCGTGAATTTAGTGCTGGTGAAAGGTACTGAACTGATCAGCCTGGAGTCCTCTATTACACCACAGAGCGGCTGCACCCCAGGCTGTGTGCATCAGCACTGACCTGCACCAGGGTGGGGTCAGCCCCCGTGGCCAGTTCGATCCTTGCTCCACCCCACTTTTCACTGTCACGGGCAAAGGGGTTTCCACCTTGTCCCTGGGGAGGCTGATCCTTAGCCCCACCCATTCCACTGTCTCACACTTCTTGGAGCAGTGAATTAGGCTTGTGGCTAAGGCACTGAGCCAGGCCTCGGGACACCTGGGTTCAGTGTTGCCAGCTCTGCCACAGATTCCAGGGCTGACCTTGGGCAAGTTGCTTCACCCCCACTCTGTGCTTCAATTTCCCTCCTGAAAGTGGGGCTACTCATAAGATGCCCTTTCCTTCCAATCTCTGTCTTGTCTCTTTAAAGTGTCAGGTCTATGGGGCAGGGACTGTGTACCTGCAGCATCCCACGTGTTAATAACCCCTGGCTCTTATCGGTACATCTCAACATGCTTTCCAAAGGGGGTCAGTTTCATTAGTCCCATTTTACAGCTGGGGAAACTGAGGCACAGAGACGGGAAGTGGCTTGCCCAAGATCACTCAGCAGGAGAGCTAGGAACAAGCACTCAGCTCTGCTGAAAACCATCCCAGTGCTCTAACCACTCAGCCACACATGATGGCTCCTAGGGACTACCAGAATATCATCGCTGATACTCCTGGCTAGATGTTCAGTCTCCCTGGCTCATCCGGGCCCCAGATTCTTTCTTCAGTCTGTCAGCTAAGTTGGGAAATGAGCTTTCATTCATTTACATGACAGTGCCAAGTGGGATGGTCTTACGGACTGTACCTTGGACCCCTTTCTCCAGAAGCTGCACGGAGCCCCACGCTCTCTTTTCACACCCACCCCGGAGCAGCCCCTGGGTGCTAGCAGCTCCTGCAAAGCGTCAAGCTAAAAAGCTCTTGAAAAATAACCCCCAAGACCGAGAGCATTTTCTGCTCATCTGCCTTTTCCTGTGTGTGGTTAAGTAGGTGCCATTGTCTCCGAGCCAGCAGCGCAGATAAGCTGCTCTGGGGACCCTCAGAGGAAGGACAGGCGTGTGCAAAT